GCCTTGAGCAAAGGAGACTAAGGGGGGATATGATTCAGGTCTATAGGATTGTATTGGGTCTGGATGCTGTTCAGCCAAATGACTATTTCAATATTAGTCTAAATACTGTTCTTATGTTTGGGGGGCAGCCCCCACTTAGTGTAGCAGTGGTGTAAGGACCAGTCAGTATGCCTGCTGAATCCGACTTAATAATCACACATGATAATGATGTGCCCACTCTGCAGGATGGTTGGAAACAGGCCCCAGCGGTGTCCTGTAGGAGCTGAAGTTTACCCCAGAGAAGGGACACCATAAAACTACACTCTGAGCTCAAGATGGCAACCTTTCTCTGCTAACTTAGGTGAAGTAAAAATGATCGATCAAATTGATCAGGGATGTGTAACCTACTATTTCTGCCATCCATCTTGCAAAATTACTTGGAACCAGATATTGTATGCCTGGAAAACAGTAAGAGGAAGCACTTGGAAGGCCAAGCCTTAGTGAAACAGATAGACAAGGATTCCAGGGACATTACAGAGGCAGACCTGGTGAGAAATTAGTGGTGCCAAATAAAACCATCATAGAAACCCCAGACCTGTTCCTCAATAAAAGACCATATGTTGTTACTGCCTAGGAAGATTATGAAAGTATTAAGTAGTATTTTACAGCATACTGAAAAAAAATACAAGAATATGTACTTCCCACTTCAAATGCAAATTTAAATGTAAAATCATGCTTACATTTAAAAGTGCTCATATGGTACTGTGGAGAAGGTTAGAATACAATGGGAAACTCTGCTGAAAGGTTAGAAAGAGAAAGCATGTGTGCTTGTTCATGGTTTGTGAGAATCTGTTCATTAGGCCTAAATGCAAATTAGAGCACAGTCTGGTCCATGACAATGCACACATCAAGCATTTATAGGAAAAAAAAAAAAAAGTTGTTTTGCTTACCAGAAAGATGTTCCTGAACTTCATGAGAAAGCTCTAGAAATAATAATAATAATGAGTACACAATTAAAAACATGACATAAAAACAATTCTGGTCCTGCATTATCCTAACAATAAATAGGTTCCATAAAAAAGATGAGGTGGTGGGGGAGGTCCCTCGGTTTAATTCAGCACACTTGTGGGGGGGTCATTGATGTCTGGTGCACTGTGGATCAGGCAGTAGTGAAAGGCAATAGCCTTGGCGGACCAATCATCAACAGTGAGGAGTGAAAACAGTAAACAGAAAATTCACTGTCTGCAAACGTTGCTTGAAACATGTTCCATACTCAAGAGGAAACAAAAGCAATATGACCAACCATCTCAAGGCGTATGCATCCTGATATAACGGTTCCTGAACACAGAACAGTCGAACGACTCAAAAAGATAACCGCAGCAAAACAACAACTGTCTATCGAAAATACTTTTGAACAGACCTACCATGCCACTTCAGATAAACACAAGAAAATAACCCGTGCAGTGGAAGCGTTCATTGCTAAAGATTTGCAGCCCTTTTCTGTTGTCGAAGATGTGGGGTTTTGCCACTTAATTAAAACACTTGACCCACATTATGTTGTGTCCTGCCGTACACATTTCAGCGATGTTATAATTTTAAAATGGGCAAAGAAAAAGCTATTTCTGAATTTATGTTTCCTCCAGATTGCATTTGGCAGCACTTTTTCTTTTGAAATTGTTTACTTATCTTTTTATACTACTGTATTAAGTATACCAGTAGTCAAGACAAAGAGGCACTAACATTTGTGTTTTTAAGTGTTTTTTGTTTACATTCTGTATGTTTTAATTTTATACATATTTTATACATAAATAAGAGCCAGTTTACCATTTAAAAGTGTTGTGTTTAGTAACTGTTTACTTGAAATAAAGGTGCTATATTTATATTATTTAGTAATTTAGTACAGCAGTGATACTGGAATTTGTTCACTGTGAAATGCAGTTCTTGCTGACAAGCAAAATAAAGATATAATTTTGAGAGAAAAAACATTGTTCTCTATACGCACAAAACATATACCGAAACTGTGGCCCTGTACCGTTACACCCCTAGGTACCACCCCTACTATTTTGAAACAGCCCAGAGATCTTTAATGACTTCAGAGAGTTAGGACCTCAGTTTTAAGTCTCATGCGAAGGACGATAGGCTAACCTTTTGCCCACACCGACACTGTTTCAGCAGCAACCCAGCTTTCCTAGTTGGTAATCCATCCAAGTACTGGCCTAACTTTAGCCAATACAGTGGTACCTCGGTTCTCGAACTTAATCCGTTCCGGACTCCGGATCGAATCCTAAAAAGTTCGAGTTCTGACCTAATTTTTCCCATAACAAATAATGGAAAACCAATTAATTGGTTCCCGGCCCCCCCAAATTACACCTAAATTTGTTTTTTTTTTTTTTTTTAAGCATTTTAAACACAAAATGAACAGAATAAAACAAGAAGAGCATCTTTTTCTTAATGGCTTCCAAAATGATAAAGATCTTATCCCAACACTTCCCCAGTCCTGCCCTGATCGTCCGCTCCTTCCGTGTGCCACGCCCCCTCGTTAACCTCGTGTGGGATCCCCATGTGATCAGCTGTTTCTGGTTGTTGTCATTAGTCCTCTGTATTAAGCCCGCGTTTCAGTTGGTTTTCCCAGTTCGATCATTGGGTGCGTTCGACTTGCTTACAGCGCTGGCTTAAAGCAACGCATTCTGATCCTGACGCAATGCAGCCTCTCACCCGGCTGTACAAACTGGCACCGTCTCCGTGACGACACACCTTTGCCCTTATTGGCTG